ATACTTCCAGAAGCATCATTAATCATTAACAAGATGTGAGGATAATAGCCAGTTGACCTACGACAACAGTTACCATACCTGCCACATTTTGGAAAATAAAATTGATATATTTTTGTAATTAAGTTTTTAGAAAAATGAATTAAATAAATATATGATTGCCGGTTAGCGCTTAAACCTGTCAAAAATTAAATTGTTGATTGAGTGCGCTCGTGCTTACTGATTGATTTTATTGCATAGCATACTTTCGTGCACCCACTGGCAATGTCGGGCGATTAAATGCCGTAACATACTTTTGGGCGGCCGCATTTATTAATAATCGGTATAATTGTAGTGTGGCATACTTTTGGGCGGCAGCAGAAAACTTTCGACATACACTAATTTTTATAGCATACTTTCGGGCATAGCGGGAAATTTATTGAGATGTAAAAATCCAGGTTTTAGGCTGGACCCAAAAAGTGCACAATTATAACAACTTAAAAATTCCGATTTTGTGGCTGCGTTCAGCAGTTGGGTTTTTAATAAACTTAAATGTTGTGGTATTTAGGGTGGACCCAAAAATAATACATTTGGTAAGCTATTAAAATGCGTTTTTGGTGGATGCGTTCAACAAGTTTACCGAGGCGAAATTTTATTATTTTTATTAAGCTGAGGTACTATGGAAACTTGTGCATCAAATTTTTGTTGATATGTTCAGCAGATGACTGAATCAACAGATTATTAGGGTGTACCAAAAAAGTGCAAGCTTAATGAAACTGATAATATTTCTTTTTTGTAAGAAATGAAACTCAAATCCGTGTATGATTTCTTTCAGTGCTGAGCAAAAAAATTTATTGCAATTTTCTTTAATTTTCCAACAATTTTCGCTGCATTTGCTATGCGCCGTTTCTTCCCCTTTGCTGGTTGAGCGCCTGTCTGGATGACGGCTTGTTGGGCTTCCCAAGGCCTGGAGGTAACCTGAGCTGCAGCTTATTTTGTCGCTGCCGCTGCCGCTGCCACGCCCAGCCGCGCTAACCCTGACAAAGATCAACTGCGGCTAGCCACACTCACGAGTGCAGACTGTAGGCGCAATGGCCAGACTGTAGCAGAGCGACCTGCTTGAGTTCAGTTGAGAAGCAGCTGTCGAACGATTCACGTCGTGAGCTGCGGACGCTGTGAACAATAGAGGCGAGATAAAAGAGATGTCAGATACGGACGGCAGGCAGCAGGAGCAGCACGAGCTGCAGGTGGTGCGTATTGGGCACGCCAACGGCAGCTCCAGTGATAATCCCAGTCTGGACACCACGCCGAAGCTCTCCAAGCGCAACAGTTCAGAGCGCAGCCTGCCGCTGCGTAGCTACAGCAAATGGTCGCCGGTGGAGCAGGGGGCGACGCTCGTGTGGAGGGATTTGTGCGTTTACACGAATGTTGGCTCGGGGCGTGGCATGAAGCGCATCATCAACAACTCGACGGGGGCGGTGCAGCCCGGTTCGCTGATGGCTCTGATGGGCGCCAGGTGAGACGAGTTCAAGCTGCGCTTCAGCGCACCTAACTGTAATCGATATATGCTCGTTGCGGTGGAGCGGAGCGCAGACAAAAAATTCCTCTAACTGGGTTATGGCTAGCGCCTTAATCTTTGACTGATAAGCGCGGGGCTTAGTGGCTACAAAATAGTTTTATTTTCGCGCCGCACTTAATGGCTACGCATCAGGCATCACGCCTCATCTCATCCCATCCCATCTCATCTCGCCCCATCTCTCGACTCTCTCTTTCACAGTGGCTCGGGCAAGACGACGCTAATGTCAACACTGGGCTATAGGCAGCCAGGTGAGTTATCTGCGCCGATAAGATAAGCACCCACTAGCTCTCGCTGCTTGAACTACTTCCCTTTAGCTGGCACTGTGGTTCAAGGTGATATACTTATCAATGGGCGGCGCGTTGGTCCCTTCATGCATCGCATCAGCGGCTACGTCTACCAGGATGATCTCTTCATAGGCGCACTCACTGTGCTCGAGCATCTCAACTTTATGGTGCGAGCGAGCTTCATGCGATAATTCCCTTGACCTACTCATATAGCTTCTCTTGACTGCAGGCCCATCTGCGCTTGGACCGTCGCGTTTCCAGCGAAGAACGTCGCCTAATCATCAAAGAGCTGCTGGAGCGCACGGGGCTGCTGTCCGCCTCCCACACGCGCATTGGCAGCGGCGACGATGAGAAGGTGTTGTCTGGCGGGGAGCGCAAGCGCCTGGCCTTTGCCGTCGAGCTGCTCAACAATCCGGTCATTCTCTTCTGCGATGAGCCCACCACGGGACTCGATTCCTACAGTGCTCAGCAGCTGGTGGCCACGCTACACGAGCTGGCCCAGAAGGGCACCACCATCCTGTGCACCATTCACCAGGTAACCACTGGCCAGCATCAGCCCCATTCTCTCATCTCTCATCCCCTGCCCGTCTCTATTGCAGCCCAGCTCTCAGCTCTTTGATAACTTCAACAACGTGATGCTGCTGGCGGATGGCCGCGTCGCCTTCACGGGATCGCCGCAGCATGCGCTGAGCTTCTTTGCGGACCATGGCTACTACTGCCCGGAGGCGTACAATCCGGCGGACTTCCTTATTGGCGTGCTGGCCACAGATCCGGGCTATGAGCAGGCCTCCCAGCGCTCCGCCCAGCACCTGTGCGATCAGTTCGCCGTCAGCTCGGCGGCCAAGCAGCGCGATATGTTGGTCAACCTGGAGATTCATATGGCGCAGTCGGGCAACTTCCCTTACGATACGGAGCTGGACTCCTTTAGGGGCGTCGCCTGGTACAAGCGCTTCCACGTGGTCTGGCTGCGTGCCACGCTGACGCTGCTACGCGACCCCACCATACAATGGATGCGCTTTCTGCAAAAGATGGCCATGGCCTTCATCATCGGCGCCTGCTTCGCGGGCACCACGGAGCTCACGCAGCTGGGCGTGCAGGCGGTGCAGGTGGGTTCAAATCCAGTTCCAGCTGTATTTGCTGCACTGCATCTCATTCGTCTGCTTGCAGGGCACACTCTTCATCATGATATCGGAGAACACTTACCATCCCATGTACTCCGTGCTCAACGTCTTCCCCCAGGGCTTTCCGCTCTTCATGCGTGAAACCCGCTCCGGCCTATACAGCACCGCGCAGTACTACGTCGCGAACATTTTGGCCATGGTAAGCTGCCCGTGCAGGCCATCATCATCATCATCATTAGCTGATGGTTCTTTGTTTGCAGTTGCCCGGCATGATTATCGAGCCGCTGCTGTTCGTCGTCATCTGCTATTGGCTAACGGGTTTGCGAGCCACGTTCTACGCCTTCAGCATCACGGCCATTTGCGTTGTCCTGGTGATGAATGTGGCCACCGCCTGTGGTTGCTTCTTCTCCACGGCCTTCAACTCGGTGCCGCTGGCGATGGCGTATCTGGTGCCACTTGATTACATTATCATGATTACGTCGGGCATCTTCATCAAAATTAGGTAACGCGAACAGTTTCAAACGGAGAGACCTTTTTTTGCTTTGTCTGGTATCACCCCCTCTTGGAGGGGAGCGGTATCATGTTGCTCTGCCTGTGTGTGTCATAGGGAAGAAGATTCGATATAATTAAGTGCTTGATGGGGTGCAGAAGGACAGGCAAGTATGTAGGCTGCTCTATATGGTCACGTTTACCCATCTACGAGGCGTATACTGGATAAGGATAATGATTGAATATTGAGATGATTTGAGCATAGCTCGAGGGCGATTAGATCTCTATAGCTGAGGTTTATTATTTGGAACAATCCCTAATAGTTGGACAAGGGGATTGCAGGGTATCTCAAGTCTAACTCTTATCTTTACCTTTCCTCTCTTACAGCTCGCTGCCTGCGGCATTCTATTGGACGCAGTTTATATCCTGGATGCTGTATGCGAACGAGGCCATGACGATTGCCCAATGGTCGGGCGTGGAGAACATAAGTGAGTCACCTGCTTACACTAACACTAGCCTGCTCCCATTCTCATTCTCTGCCTTGCTCTCTTACAGCCTGCTTTGGCGAGAGCGCCGACTTGCCCTGCTTCCACACCGGCCAGGACGTGCTGGATAAGTACAGCTTCGAGGAATCGAATCTCTATCGCAATCTCTTGGCCATAGTCGGCATCTACTTTGGCTTCCACGTGCTGGGCTACTACTTCCTCTGGCGACGCGCGCGCAAGATCTAGGCAGAAATTTGTCCTCATTTTTGCTTTGCTGTAAATACGTTTATCAATTTGCATAATAAATGCTAAGTAATGCTTTTTTTATTAACAACAATTTTATTGCGACACACATTTACAGTAATTAACATTGAATTTGAATCTGAATCTGGAGTTGGAGTTTGAATTGGAAATGAATCAAACTGCGAGCTACGTTGAACATTTAACATTTCCACTTAAATTGACACAAATTGTACTCTGATATATGTTTTATATATGTACTACATATATATATGTATATGTATATATATAGTAGAACAGCTTTGTAGAAAAACTTAGTTAAATTATAGTTTCAAGTCGAAGAAAAATGTTTTCTCAATTACAATTTCGAACATTTTGTGTTTTGCTTTAGAGTTTTTCTTTGTTTTAAAGCTAAAACTATGTAACACAAGTCTATAAAATAATCTATACATTTATAATAGAAATCACAGCGAGAATTGATTTTCGGTTTTATATATTTGCTCTTTGGTTTAGTTTAGTTTTAGGTATTCGTTTATATAATACATAGAGTTTAGCTTTAAAATTAAGTGTTGTTCCTTCAGCAACATTGAGACACACACACACAAACACTCACTCACCCACACACACACAGTCTCTCTCACACACACACGTACATATATAAGTCTAACGTACACGTAAAGCGTTTTAACAATTTGAGCTTTGGTTAGTATATAGTTCTTTAAAGAAGTTTCATTTCCAATCAACACTTCTTAATACTTTTTGTATACCCTCTAATCATATTATGAAACACACTTTCAACATCTTCCATCTCCATCTCTCCTTTAGATCCTACAAATTGACTCGAGTCACATTTCTCGATAGTGTCGACACATTTAATGGTAACAAAGCTTAGAAACTGTTGCATTTGTATACCCTGTAAATTGAGTACAGTTGCTCTAATAACAACTACAAATAGTATACATTTATATATATATATTTATATAGGAACCTGGTCATAGTGCTCCCTTATTTAACTATACATAACTCTAGTCTATGGCAACAGCTTGTTTTTCGGTTCGAAATTCGTTTATTTTGCTGTGATATGCAGGGTACGCAGCCTAGTCGGATATGCCTGGTTCAGGCTAGGCTGCTCAAAGGAACAAACAACAAATGCGAGATCAATAGAAATAGTTGGGATCAAGGGTATCAACACTGCTGGAGCACACAACTCTAAGCGGATGACTGACTATGTGGCAACGCCGTTTAGTCTAGTCGGATATGCCTTTAGATGTTAGGTTGTTTGAGGGGGAATTACTGCTGGAGCATGCATAACTAAGCAGCTCTTAGCTTTTTAACTTTAAAGTATTCTTTCTATACCATCTGACTATCTGGCAATGCTGTCACTCTCTATGCCAGCCTGATGGGATATGCCATCAGCTCTCGAGGTCATCTGATCTTCTAGCAACTCAGTGATAAACGACTGCCTCTGCCTTAAAGCATCGCGTATCACTCTCTAAAGCATTTACTCTTCGAACAGCTTGCCGATCTGGCAACGCTGTCACTCTACAATGCCTGACTCTTGGCGCATGACATCAAGCTCTTCTAGCTATTTAAAACCAATTTATACTCCTTGCTACTTACTCTGCTAGCAACTCGACGATCTGGCAACTCTGTCCCCTTCCTCGATTCGACTGCCTTTTATACATATTTACATTTAGCTTGGCCATCAACCTATTTACGTACTGATCTGCTGCAGCAGCCCTGGTCGCGGACTGGTGCCTCCTGCTGCTGCTGCTGTCAATCCAACGCCGCCTCCAACTCCTGCTCCTGGGCTGCTGCCAGCGCTGCTGCTGCTGATAAGGATCATGCTGCGGCTGTTGGGCAGCACAAACACCTCGGTGGCCAGGCCAATGGGACTCATCGACTGGGATGTCTTGATGGGACTGCGATTCGGCTCGAGGAAAGCTATGCGCGGCTGCCAGTCCAACGGCTGGCCCCGGGCTGCATCCGCTCCAGCGCCACTGTCATCGCCAGCTGCCTCGTCACTCTCCAGCGTGCCAGGCGCCGTGTGCGCCGAGCTCTGGCTCTCGTTGGACAGCAGCCGGGTGGTGATGGTGCTGCTGCAGTTGGTGGTGCAGCTGGTAGCCATCGTGCTCACCGAGCGSCGCTTGCGCTGCTGCTGCTGCATATAGGAGGCTGTCGTGGTCAGCGTCTCCGTCACATGGAAGCTGACGATGGTGTCCCGCTTGCGCAGCGTCGTTGTCGTCGAGCTGCTGCAGCTGCCCTCGCTGCGCAGGTTCTGCTGCTGCTTGTTGCTCAGATCCGAGAGGCTGATGTTGTTCTTCAGCAGGATCTCCAGGTTCTCGATGGAGTCCTTCAGCGCGCTCTTCTCGTCCCGCGCGATCTCCTCCTTGAGCTCCGCCACCAGTGTCCTGGGCGCTGTGGGCGTGGCACAGCTGTCGGCATTCGCCTGATTCGCATTGCGCAGCAGCGCCGGCAAAGCGCCAATCGTCACCACGCTGGAGCTGTTCGAGATGCTGGGCGTGATGCCCGTGGAGCTGACGGTGGTGCCGAACGAGGAGGAGATGTTGTGCTGTCGGCACAGAGATTTCCGCCGCTGCGCCGTCAAGTTTTGCATATTCGAGTTCAGGTCGATGTCGTCCTCCTCGTCATCTTCGTCCACATCCGCCTCGCCGGGCGGCTCCACTGTGGCCGCAGCCACGCCTTCAACTGCTGGCGTCTTGTTTGCTTCCGCTGCCGGCTTCTCCTCTGCCCCGCCCATGGGGACCGCGGGGACCGTGGCGGGCTGCTGCGCCTTACCCTTCAGAAAATAGGTTATCATCGAGCCCTTGCCCTTGACGTTGACGCTGCCGCGGCAGGTGAGCTCGTAGCCCCGGCACTCGAGCAGCTGCTGCATCTCCTGGGTCACCTGGGCGCAGGTGTTGATTTCATTTGGGAGTCCAAACGTGCAGCCGCAAATAAAAGAGGTGAAGCAAGAGGGAGAGGGAGAGGGGGAGAGAGAGGGAGTGGGAGAGTTGAAGAGAGATAATAAAATAAATTCCAAGTGACAAGTTCATTGGCAAAGCGTGCAGCAGCAGCAACACACACACACACACACACAATCAGTGGCACAACCTGTGCTCAATATTTCATGATAACACTCTGATATAGCCCCGCTCCCAGCCCTGTCTGTCCGTCTCCCACCATCTTATCTTATCCCTTGTCCCGCTTAATAATTTATTTCTCTTTGCAAATTTTCGTGCGCTTCGCTTTTATCGACGACGCACGGCAAATAAAATCAAATACAGCAGCTGTGTGTCTGTGTGTGTGTGTGTTTATATATTTATTTAGGCTAGTGTGCATATATGTCTGTATGTGTGTGTGTTAGTGTGTGTTTAAGTTTCAGTGCGTGGGCACTTTCTAATTCCCATGAAAATTGTATGAGGCGCACATGGCGTATACGCAATATGTGTGTGAGTCTGTGTGCGTGTGGGTGTGTGTGTGTCTGTGTGTGTCTGGAGCAGCCTGTTGCCCATTTCGGCAAACTCTTAGCCAGCTATTGATTAGAGCGGTCTGGCAACGCATACCCAGCTCTCCCGGTATACCCTACACCATTATATGATTAGGTAAATAGATTATTGTTGACTTAAGAGAGCAAATGCATTATTGTAATATATTAATTAAATAATGAAAATTATTACATAGTGCCAAAGCATTTTTTTTAGGGTCTATCAACTCATTAGCAACAGCTCAAAATAATTCAGAATTGGATCAATTGTCATCTTTAAGTCGTTTAAATCATATGATGAACATAACAGTTCTTTAACTATAAAAATTCTCTAATTTTCCAATCAATTACAGGGTATTTATTTAGCTCATCAATCTAGGCTCAACACCAGCCTCATTTATTTAAAGTGACATTTGGCTGGCTTGGAAACTCGACACAAGAAAAAGCAACGCCCGATGAAAGATAGCCACGCGCTCCTTTTGTGACCTAAGACTCCTCCCATCTCCACCTAACCCAGCTCAACACAGCTCAAGATATATAAGAGATATCTCTTAGACTGAAAATTTGTTACGTTTTAAGTTTAGCGAAATCCACACAAATTTCATTGCATTGTAAAACCAAATTTAATTTCTATTTCTACATATACAAAGCCCTTTGCAGGGTATCTAACCAGTCCAGCATGCACCCACACACATATGTATTTATTTCAAGTGACATTTGAATGGACCAGAAATCTGATAAAGCGCAAAACAACCCCAGGTGAGGGCTGACCTTTCATTAGTTCAGCCCACGCAAACAACTGCGACCCAATCAATCGCTCAACATTAAACACAATCAATTTGAGCTATGGGGACTGAACTTTTGATTGAGAAATCACATTTCAATGTTGGCCTATAATGATGATAGCCATTGCCGTTAAAAGTTGTGTTAATAAGTTGAAGTTCCCAACTCTAGTAACGTCTCCTCTCGTCTCTGTCTTGTCTATCCCCTCACCAGGGACATTCGTCTGGTTGTAAACTGACAAGAGCAAAGTCCGTTCAACTCACCTGTATGTGATCGACCAGACCCGTCGAGTCCATGCGGGAGGCCACGTTCACGGCATTGCCCCAAATATCATATTGCGGCTTGCAGGCGCCAATCACACCAGCCACCACGGGTCCAATGTTAATGCCTGCGCGGGGGGGAAGTGAAAGAAAATTGAATTCGCTAAAGTTTCGGGCATTCCCATAAAGACGTCGCTCCAGCTCACCTATGCGCATGCGAAAGTTGTTGAACGAGTGCATGTTGACCTCCTCAATCTTGTCGAAGAGCTGCAGCGCGTAGTCGGCCATGGCGGTCACATGGCTGAAGTTCACCCGGTCGCAGGTGTTGGCCGTCAGCCCAGAGGCAGCCATGTAGGTGGCGCCGGTGCTCTTGATTTTCTCTATGCAACTGCAAAGCGACAATCCATGTTAGTTCTCTGTGCGTTAACTGCTGCAGGATGCCCCTCGCTCGCCCACTCACCGGAAACGCTCCTCGCTCAGCAGCTCGTCAAAGTCCGCAATGATTTCGTTCAGCAGACGCAGGCACTCGACGCCCTCGTTGTTGCCCTCCAGCTCCACGTAGAACTCGGAGAAGTTCGGTATGCTGGCAAAGAGTATGCACACGGAATCGCATTGCTCGTGATACAAGTCCTGAGCATCGCAAGTTGAAAGACGGAAATGTATATTAAATGGATACAAGTCTTCCATTAGAGAATATCTGTGCATGTATACAACATTTTTTCATAAGCCATGCATCTATTATATCACTGGCCATTTATTCTTGTAGCACATATAGAAAGTTTAGAAGCTGTATTATAACATTCTCCATATCATCTTCTATAGGTAAGCAAAGGGAAATTACTTAAGATATGCTGGGATATCGTGGAAGCGTACATGTTATATATTTGCCTAGAGAGCGTCTCGTAGTACCAATCTTGTTGCTTTCCTATCGGCCGATGAGCTTCTAGATAGATAGGTAACTATTTTCATTGGAAATTTGCTTTGTGATGCTCTTAGAATTTTCTTCTTGCTTTTCTAATTCCATTTCAACTATCATCTATCATGATCCCTATCGTCCTTGTTTTAAAATTCAGCCAGATAGGCATATCGCTGGCGTTGCGTCTTAGAATCGATGTTTGCAATATTTTAATATTCGTTTATAAACCATTTCATATAAGCTATTTCTATAGCTCTCTTAGAACGTCTAATTGCCTTAATTTCTGTATTTATTCGCATTTGAGTTCTCTTAAAGCGTTTCGTTAATGCGACGGCGTTCAAATTTTGTGTTAGCCTTGAAGCAAACGCGGTCAACTTTGGTCCAGAGCTCACACACACACACACAAACACACACACACACTCTCACACACACAGAGGCAAAAGCCGAAGACCACACGTCGGCGGTTCCAAAATGTGTGGCTGCTCATGTGATTTGGTTAAAAGTTGTTGATTGCACACTTAATGTGGCAAGTAGGTCCAATGGCCGCCGCCTCCACCACGCCACGCCCCCACCGCCGATGCGTGTGCCCGTTACGCATTGAAGCGTTGCAAGCCGCAGCATTTATATATTATATACTTATATATGTATGTACATATATAAACCGACGCGGCCAGCGGGCATATGGGGCAGCTGGGAGCAGGAGACGGCGCAGATAAGCAAGGAGACTGGAGCTCAGTTGGATGCTGGCATGCTTAACAAACGTCCACCTTCCAGCGCTGCGCGACTCTGGCTGTGGCTCTGCAGCTGCCCTTGTTACTAGGCACAAAAGTTTTCAAGCTTTTTAAATACGTCGCAAATTGCCAGCAACCAAATACACACACACACACACACACACACACAGAGAGACGTATAGCTTACACAGTAATATTTACAGTAATACACATATTCATACACATACATATATCAAATGTTTTAATACTCACGTCGAGGTGCTTCTCGCGGCTCAGAAAATGCTCGGCGACATGCACGGGCAAAATATTTTCGAGCAGTTTCCGATTATAAGCCTGCAAATGCTCCATGTCCTCCTTCTCCTCTGCGCTCCACAGATGAACAAAGAAACAAACAAACAAGAAATGTGTAAAGAAAAAATAAGAACGAAGCGAAAAGGGAACCAGAGAAGAGCAGCAAAAAAAAAAAAACAGGAGCGTGAAATTGAAATATCAGTTTATCAGTTAACCGAAGCGGAAAGCGAACAGCTAAGAAATGAGAGAAAAAATAAATACTCAGAGCAGTCGGCTGGGCACGACTAGCATATACCCTACAAAGCTAATTAGCAATATATTGAAGAGAAGTCTTAAAGCTAATCTCAGACGGCAGTCTGATGTACAGATGGAAAAATAGAGTTAATCTATAATCTACACTTATTATAATCTCATTCATAAAAAGTCGAAAAATATATAGTTATTCATCACCATATTCTGTTTACTTCCCATTAATAATGGATCTCTGAATTTCTCGGACTGTCCAGAAAAGGTCGTTCCAAAATACCTCTTCCCTAACTCCCCCATTTCCAGCCTATGCAGCGATCAATACAGTGGAATATCGTCCCTAAAGTACCTCTCACATAGGCATATATACATATATACATATACCAATGGCAAATCCCAATATACTCCAATTTATTTCATATATTTAGCAGACAAGGCAACAAAACGAGAAGCGTAAAAAAGCGCTGCATAAGCTCCGGCGTCAGGCAAACACGAGTGTGATTGTTCAAGTGTATTAGACTGCGTGTGTGGGTGCTTGTATATGTGTGTGTGTGTGTGCTCTAATACTAATGAAAAGCTTGTTGAACAACAGCGTAAATGGAAACGCAAAAGATGAGCAGCAAAGCATTGGCATCAGCGAATCTCATCGAGAATCGTTGTATGGGCCAGGGACAGAGCTCTGGCTGCTGTTGTTGTTGTTGTTGTTGTTGTTGCTGTCAGACAGACAGAAGGTCGTCAGTCAGTCAGTCAGTCATATTTGATATATATAGGTCCGCACTCGCATTTGCTAATTAGTTGCAAACAAAAATTTATAAATAAGCAGCCTAAGCTCTAATGAATTATGAGGCAATTTCCTAAGCCATTTAAGAGTGAAATAAAAGTTCAAGAATATTTTAATGTAAAGCTTTTACAGTTACTATTTACAGTTATGATAACGATTTAGTCTGGGTTATTTTTGAAAAATCAGAAATTATTTGATTCACTTTATCACTCTGTTAACTCCCTCAGTACCGAAAAACTTTCCATCTAAAATGCTCTATTATATCCGCGTATCACTCACCCGTTGCCTGCAGTTTCCAGATAAAGTCCAAGCGGTAGGTGGCCTCCGTTTGATGGCTGTGGAAGATCAGGGCGAGCATAAATGCAAATAGGAAGATTGAGTCAATTATATAGCGCAGCAGGGCTTCCTCATTGCTGTTCAGTCAAACAAGTCGAAAGACGGCAGACGGAGGCAGCAGTAGACCAAGTTATTCCAGTCCATTAAAGTGAAATGCCAAGGCGCAGTCGACGAAAAAGGGAAATGGGGAAAGGAATGTTGTTAATGCAGTTGAAAATGCCAAGTGCCAGCTGGCATTCGGATGCCCTGATAAATGAAGCCAAGTGCTAAATACAATTTTAATGCAGTTTGCGGCTGCTGCAAATGCACTTGCAACATTCCAGCAGGGCCAAGAGGAACTTGCACTAAATTACATTACAGCATAATTCGTTTTCAGCAAGAGAAAAGACCGGGATAGACGGAGAGAGGGAGAGAGAGAGGGAGAGTGGAGGCATACTTACGCCAGCTGAGCGCTGATTTGCCTGCTGCTCACATATAAATACGAGGAGCACGCCATGTAGCTGCCAGCGGCCAACAGCAGCAGGAGAAGCTTCAACACTATGCGCAGCACTTGGTACGTGGCGCAGCACATCATCGAGAGCAGCGTCAGCAGCAGGAATGTCTGTCAAAGAGAGTTGCCACAAAAGTAGGGTTAACTCAATATGTGTGTGTGGGGTGTGAAGGGGTGGGCAGAGTAAATGCAAAGATGTTTCTTAGGATATGGCAATAAAGCTGCAATTTCTGCATATATTTGTCCACTAGTTAATCCCCTATTCTGCCTTCTGATATATCAAGAACATATTTTTCTTCAACCCACTCTCTATATACTTAATTTACTTCCCTAAACTAAACATTTTTTATGATACATATTAATATAAAGTGGATAACTTATTCGACATTGATTTCTTTGTCTGTCTATCTATATCTATAGTTGTATATATAGTTGTCTATATCATAGTTGTATCTCTTATGATTCTAGACTAGCCCCTCGTTTAGCTGACTTGTTTGTTTAATCCACTACCTTCATTATATACTCTACAATTCAAGCCGGTCCCTTGCCTACCTCCCATTCTGCTAGTCAGCCTAGCACGTTCACTGTTTACCCTCGACACCAGCAATTTACTTCTCCTTCAACATCTACAGTTACCCATATATCGGCCCAATTAGCCAATGTCCACTGCACCTCCACTCACACAACCCAATTAACGCCCCATTTACAGGGTATTTGCTACTTACATTATACGCAAAATAGAAATCACAGTTTGGCGTTGAGAGCTCCCGCTGATGGTCCTGCTCCAGGTCCAATTCTATTTGCTCCGCCAGGCTGCTGTCGATGCTGATGCTGGTGTTCGCGTGCAAAAAGATCCATTGCAAACGCAGCTGCCTCAATTGACGCATTGATTCCTGCAACTACAACAACGAAAATAACGCTAATTAGCAACGGGAGCGGCTGGAAATGTCGTAACGAGTGCTGCTTCAGTTTAACGAGGCGCCTAACACGCACTCTCAGCCAATGGCTATAAAAATAAAAACGTGGCTAAATGAATAGCGAATGGGGCTCCAAAGTGCCATTAAACGTGGCCAGCAAAGAGACAGAGCACAAGAGATTGAGAGCGGGAGAGTGGGAGAGTGGGAGAGAGAGAGTGTGAGTGGGAGAGCGAATGCGACACAAGTTGACAACTAAATGTCAAAATGCTGGCGGCTGGCTTTGAACCCAGACACAAGTTGGAGTTGCGCCGCTTGGGGGCCGTGTGGCAGGTAACAAGTAGCACATAAATGGGCGCACGCACACACACAAACACAGGGATTCAGACCTCATGTATGAAACGTGGCTCGCATTTTTTGTTAACCTACCCCCGGCCATCCCCTCTGCCTCTGCCCATTGTTGCTTGTTGTGTTGTCTGCACAACTTTAATGGAAAAACTTTTGTTTTGTCGCGGCCCAACAACAACAACAACAACAGCGAATGCTGTTTGGGGAGATCACAGTGCAAACGCCCTCAAAATTTGTATTTTGAGTTGCTACAAAAAACGTAAATTTCATTTTTATTATTTTGAAGTTCACTTAAATGTCCAAAGAGTGAGCGAGAGAGAGAGAGAGAGAGAGAGAGAGAGAGAGAGAGAGAGAGAGAGAGAGCAACAACAACAACAAAGAGAACAATAATTCATATAGATCTGCACGCAATTTGTAGCGCGCACAAATTATGCATAAAACAAGGAAACAAAACCAAGCGCAGCCAAAGAATTCACAATTTGAGGGATTTGGGCATTGCTTATGTTATTATAGGTAGAGAGCAGAACTTAAGTGCTTCAATGCGCTACTTACCATGGCCAGCAACGTGGTCCAAACAATCAGCGAAACGGTGGCAAAGGCAATGGACTGCGACAAGGTGCGATTGCTGTGAATGCTCTGCGAGAAGTGTTTCATATACGAGGGCAGCTGCAGGACGCACAGAAAGTAAAATGTAAATAGAAAATGAATATAAACGAAGTTGGGATTAGCCTTCAACAGTTTAGCCTTAGTCCACTTATACATTGCAGAGCAACTGCTGTGCGACTAACCTTCACGTTGATGTTATGACAGGCCACGCAGAAGACCAGCACGAGCAGCAACAGCAAAGCCAGCATGGAGAGCAGGAAGACCCGCGGGGAGCTGGAGGAGTATAGAACATTTACAATATACATAAACAATGAAGTTCATCATAAACCACTCACGTGCCAAAAACCACAAAGCGCATCAGCGTGGTGCCCAGCAGCACCAGCAGACTGCAGTAGAAGTAGACGCAGAGCATGCGGTCCGGCTCGCTGGAATACTAGAGTTGCGTGGCGCAAGGGATTAGGGCTAAGGCGACGCTTGTACCTGGATATTGGGCACTTACCTTGCGCTCCAACGCGTCGCTCTTGAAGCACAGCAACAACGACTGGCAATGCTCGGCGCGCAGATGATCGATGCTGCGCGCGTCGATGGCACGCATCAAGTACTCATTGACCTCATCCTCGGGATCCTTGTGACTCTCGGAGCTGTCGCCAAAGCCAAATCTGCGAAGTGACGGGATGAATATAATCCTAGTTCTATTTAAATCTATTTAGATCTCTGCTTGTTGTCTGCTGAATTAAACTAAATTCTCAAGAATATCCTGAGACTTCCTTTAAGTCATATCTGTCTCAAACTCAAGCTACGTCTCCCATCGTTGCAGCTAAAAGAGTGAGAAACTAAGCAGAAACTTAAGCCATACATACGTCTAGCAATCTGAATATGCATATTGCCTGCTTATAGAAGGCCTATCAACTCTTTTATTAGCTGTACATTTCTCTAGAGGGCATTTAAAGGTAATTCCAGTCACAATCTTAAGACTTCATGCTCTGTCGGCACAATCCTTTATCAAAGTCTATTAACAACTGCTTAGCCACAGCTGCCCTAAGCTCTCTGCCCAGCATTTGCCACAGTTCACGCTCTCTCTCTCTCTCTCTATCAGCTCTTTTCTTTATTGCTCTTCGCTTGTTTCCCACAATTCTATTAAAGTCCACTCAAAACTTTTTCCTCCATAGCCCGCAACTTACTTGGATGTGTGTTTCTGTGCGGTGCCGTGGCCCATCATGCGCAGCTCCTTGGATATGTTGCCATTCACCTGCAGGCGATTGCGCGATTTCTTGTGCTGCCGCAATAGAGGAGAACGTGCAATATTATTGCAGAGTTAAGAGTTATGGAGCAGAGTACAGAGTATAACACTTACCGGTCTGTAGATATCGCCTGGCACTATGAGATATGTTTCTATCTGATGATCCTTGAGATACGAGTTCCTATCAGCGCCTTTGCCCTCCTCCACCTCGTAATCGCCATCCAAACACTTGAGAGTTTCCTTGGTGATGTGAACACGGCTAAAAGGAAAGAGAAAGAGAAGGAGAGAGCGAGAGCGAGAGGTTACACACTACATGATTTGTGGACTTTAAAAGGGCGCAAGGCAGGGAGGCAGGGAGGCAAGGACTCAACCCAACATTGTCAACATGTGGCTCTGTTTTTCGGTTGCCATAACCACAGCGATTGGGTTTGTCGCAGCCATTACGTGGCATGTGGCATTACATGCTGCAGTTGCCACGCCTCCTGCACTCCCCCTGTGCGGCGAACGCGGATGCTGTTCAGTAAATACTTTTTAATGTATTTGTATAGCTGCCGCAGTGGGGCGCGCTCTCAACTGAGAGCTGAGCAGCTTTATTATATTATCGTTATGCAGTGCCTGCGGCATGTGGCATGTGGGCACGTTGCATGTACGCCGCGGGCTCAACTGGCTGCACATAAAATAAAGAAGCATCGCGCCAACAATAGAAGCCAACTGCAGCCACGTTGTTGACTCTATTGATAATTACATGGCGCTTTGTTATGGATGACCGCAGCTGCTTCTCCTCCTGCTCCGGCTCCTCTTTCACCTCTTCATTCTCCTTCTGCTTCTCCCTTAGTTGCTGCGGCAGTCAAATTGCCGCTTATCAGGGCTAAGGGAATTCGCATAGAGCCCGCCCCGCGGCCAACTGCAGCTATTTGCTTTTAATTTCGCTCAAGACAGGACTAACAAATGAACTGCCGCTGCCGTTGCTGCCGCTGCCGCTGCCACAGCTGACCCACATTCAAGGCAAAGTCGTGCCGCAACAAATTGCTCAAGTGTTGTTGAAAGTGAAGCAACTGAATCAACAGCAGCAGTAGCAGCAGCAGGAGCTACAGCAAAAGCATTAAGTGTTGGCCAGTTAACGTGCCTGGGCGAAGGGGGCGTGGCATGCAACTACTGCATAATCGATTCGACGATTGGCTCGCACGTGTGAGGGCGAAGTTCGAGTCACTTGACTTGCCAATAACTTGGCACCCACACAAGCCACACAACCGACCCGCAAGGCACACACACACACATACAACATACACATTGCGGCTGAGTATGCAAATTTGTAGAACGTACCCGATACGAGTACAACAAAAATTACAGCTATTACAGCCATTACAGCCACACATTGCAATCGCTTCAGCGACAGCGACACTTGGCCAAGTGTTGAGAGTCGAAAGGTTGCTTACAAAGCAGGAGCGAATTCAGCAGGCATGAGGGGCGTCTGATTGAGAGCTTGCGGAAGTGGAAAGAAGCTTCTAAAGTGGCAAACATTTAAATTACATCAAAGCGTTTGGCTAAGATGATAAAAAGTAATCAACAGGAGCGGACTCAACAAGCAAAAGGTGATATATTAAAGAAAATTTCAGCAGCTAAATAGGTGCAAATTCGAGCTATAGCTAACACTGTGATTATCAAAATAAAATTTAATTTATTTTTTTACTTCTGTTTAAAGTCAATTAAGCATTACAATTTGAGCTTTAGGGTCAGCTCCGCTCCTGTTAAAAGTTCAACTGAAATGATTAAAGTGAATGTAAATAATTGCCTAAAAGCCTAAAGCGGCTCAATTATATTCCAAGTAAATAGTCCCACATTAAGATCAGCTCCGCTCCTGTTTAAAGCTGACGAGTTGCAAAAAGTTTGTGGCCAAAAAGTTGGCTTTAATTGCACGACACTCGCATACAGCTCGAACGTTGAGAGTGAGAGAGAGAGAGAGAGAGAGAGAGAGAGAGTGGGGGAGAGAGAGACAGAGAGAACGCAGAGCCCTGTCAAAACGGAAATGAGACAAACTTGTCAGCGGCTTTTGCGGTTAGCTGGTTGCTGGCTGCTTGCAGCTAAGACTTGGTTTTGGCCAAGGCAATGGACGAATGGATGGATTGTGGGCGTATAGCCACACGATAAGGACTCGAACTGCTTTTCATTGCATACTTGTCGGCGCGCAAACATATCAAAGCGGGTCAAAAACATAATTCTCAGCTGTCGTAAAGTGGAGCACACAACGGCCACAAAAACCATCGAACAACAAGCAGCTAGCAGTGACCAAGCCAAGGGATTTCACTCCTTGACTTAGCACAAAGAAAATAATCAAACGAAATGTGTGTTCGGGCCAAAAGACAAAAGCCAAGACATGGATTTAATGTGCCGCCAACGATTCAAAGGGCAGAAAGCTGAGCAAATGGGCTCAGCTTTGAAGTGGCCAGACGGCCAATGTCCACTAAGTAATTAACAGCTAATATATGTGTATACATATGGGAACAGAGTGTGAATTAGTTGATTATGTGGTAATATTAAGTGCCCATGGAGCAAAAGATGATGCTGACCATCAGCTGCAGATGGTCAGATAAAGATATATCTGATATCTTGCATCTATATGAAGATCATGCAAAAGGTTATCAATAATAAGTATTCCATAGACTTTAGGAAGTGGAGGAACCGCTACAGAGTACAATTTGTGTATGTGTGTAAAGACTTAGCTACAATTTCAAAACAACAATTACTCAGCAGTTTTTCCAGTCAATTAGTAGACCTTAGGTTATTTGTTTTGCTTACCCGGGTATGCCGCCGCTCTCCATATGATTGGCCAAAGTCACATCGTTCGACCAAACATCAAATTGCCATTTGACCAGGCCCAAAACGCCGCAATGCACGCGTCCCGTGTGGATGCCCACACGCATGTTCACATTCACGGCCATTACCTCGCGCACCAGACTGACAAGCGTAGAGATGGAGAAAAAGAGACACGAAGAGATAGAATACACAAAAAGGTATTTGCAGTTGCAACATGACGACAACACAAACACAATACGCTTTGCTGTTATACTCACGCTATGGCGTCTATCATATCGAGTCCCATCTCAACAGCGCAGTGGGCATGATCCGGCCTCGGCTCTGGTAACCCGGAGACGCAGTAATAGCAATCGCCCAGCAGCTTTATGCGCAGACAATGATGCTCTGCAGCCAATCGATCAAAGCTGCAAAAGTATGACAAAACAAATGTCGAAGTTAAAGAGAAACTAATGAACAACGTTAAATGATGCTTTAAATCAATTAGAAACTCAGTTTAAACTTAGTGCGCAGTGCGCAGCGCTATGAGCCGAGACAGTGTGACCAATTTACGTCAAGGAAATAAATAACTCAAGTTTACTAATTAAAATACTAAACAGCCAGGCACTTCGCAGCACTGCACCTTTAAATTATGCAATTAAAAAGTTTACTCACAGCACCAAAAGTTTCTTTGCTGTGTAAAACTTATAATTAGTATAGTAATAAAATTTACTATACCTTTGTGCATTAAAGTGTTAATAAATTGCTGTTTGAGCCTGCTGCTGACTAACCAAGCGTCAAGTGCAGTTTAGCTCAAGTGGCAATGCAACTGATTTATCGGTATTTTCTTTGGTATTAAATAACACTTTTTCACGCAGCTACTCAATAAGGCTACAGCTAGTGTCTGCACAAATTGAATGACCCTATCATACGATACGAATCAATAAAGTGCCTAACAAACAGCGATGCCAAAATTTGGTATCCTGCTGTTGCTGCTGGTGCTGCTGGCTAGGCACTCGAATGTGCAATTAATTTGTGCCTCTGTATCACCATTTGTTACACTGTTTGACATGGCCCCAGGCCAAAGGCAACAGCAGCAGAGATAGAGATAGAGAGCGAGAGAGAGAGAGAGAGAAAAAAAAACTTTCTACATACACAGACAGGTTGGCCATGTCATTAAGAATGCCTACGAATCGGCCATGGACTTGGGTTGTGGACTGACTCACTAAGGACTCACCGTGCAAATAGCTCGTTCAGCAGGCGCACCAGCTCCTCGGCCGTGCACTGATCCGACAGACTGGTGAAACCGCAAATGTCGGCAAACAGGATGCTAGAACAAAAAAGAGAAACACCAAAAGAGAATAAAAAAGAGTGGCCAGAGTTCATATAAAGTGCAAATATTACAGCTCTTGTTGTTCTTGGACTCGTGCTAAGTTTCTAGCTGTTGTGTGGGTGTGCGTGTCTCTATGTGTGTGTGTGTTGCGCTTGAGGAATTCTTTAATATACTCCAACTAGTTTCCATTTAAAGTACGTTAAAGTTCGACGTTCTCGGCAAATTTGTTTGGCAAATCCTTTCGCCAACTTCTTGTCAAGCTGCTTAGCCGGCTCAGCGCGTAATTTAATACAACAAATGCGACTGCGGAGTGGCAAAATAAAAGCAAACAGGTGCGCCCTCAAGTATGCCGAGTGTAGCTGTRTGTGTGTGCGCGCGTGCATGTGTAATTGTGTGTGTGAGAGTTGGCAATGTGCAGTTGTTACTTGATATGTGTACACTGTACGCTGTACAGTGAAGACCTGATAGAGCGAATAGCTAGTAAGGAATTGATTGATAAAAAATTGTAAAATAATATTTTGCAAATAAAGAAAATAATTTTGAATAAACATATTATATTATATAAACCAACTTGCTCAACTAAATACTTTATTTAATATACAAAAACTTTCATATTTGTTTTCCCATTCCTTTGTTTACTTTTATGAAGTTGCTTGGCTAAGTCAACGGTTGGCTGCCCTTTTAGTTAGGGTTTACTGTGCATACAAATTCATGTGTAGGGTTATGCACAAATTCGCACACCTACACACGCACACACATACACGCCTTTAAGCATATTTATTGACTTTGCATGCAAATAAATTTATACACGAAGCATAAGAGACACTCGCAATACACACACAAACATATACACAGATACGCACTAGCTACACACACGCACACACACACTCACACTCACCTGACATTCTCATGGCGCTGTATGTAAATCTTATGAAATTGTGTGTCACGTGGCTGGCCCGCAATATCGTCCTTCATCTCCATGGCAACATGTCGCGGCAGCACCGACAGCAGCAAACGCTCCTGCAGAGGGAAAGAGAGAGAGAGAGAGAGAGAGAGTGTGTGTGTGTTTGGGGTTAAACAGTCAAAAGGTTATGCCAAATGCTGCTGCTTAGATCAGCAAAAGGCAGCTGGGCGAAGCAATCAGGCAACAAGTCCTGGCCACGCCCCAATGCTCACACGCTGATGAATTCGTCATGTTTAGCTGCTGGCTTTTGACGGCTCTTTGACTGTGCCATTTGTGGCAGGTGCTTGAAGTGGAACTCACCTGCTGTTGATTCTCGCGCTGCGTACGCAAACGCGCCTCGATGCACTGGCGCGTCTCAATGAACGCCTTGCGCTGCGCCTTCTCCTTGGGCCAGTGCGTGTAAATACCTGTAAGATTCGCCAGCAACAGGGCAATGCAGGTGCACAGCAGCTGCAAGGGGAGGACAGAGGGAGAGAGAGATAGAGTGGGAGTGAAAGAGAGAGTAAGTATAATGTGTAATGGCAGTAAACGCATTAGTATCCATTTCATTGCCAATGAACAAGCACAATAAAAGTCCAGTTATGGAACAACGCACACACACATAGGTACACAATGGCAGAGAGAGAGAGAGAGACAGAGAGCGAGATAGAGTGACAGAGAGAGCGAGCTACGCAATTTTATTCAATTTTGCGGCAATTTAATTTCATTTATTTGTGTTTTTTCACCTGTACTTTCACTCTCTTTGTGTCTCTCCCTCTCAGACTCTCTGTTTGTGTGTGTGCTGTGTCTGTGTGTGTTATAAATGGTGCGTGCATTTTATGCGAATTTATTGTCACGTGCGCTACCATAGCTACGCACGCCTGACTTTTCAGGCCATTAAAGCGCTCGCTTTAACAACGGTTTTCACTCCATTGTTACGCCCACGCACACACACACATACACACACATGCAGACAGGCAGACAGACGCCCCCGCCCACATGCTTTTGCGGCTTTTGTCGACGCAGTGCTGTTGATGGATATGCCTGGCCATTTGATTTGTGGCAGCCACAAACAGTTGCAACAGCGCGCGGCAGCATTGCTGCTGCGATTTACCTCCTGCCAGGACAGATGCGTCTTCATTGGCGCCCGCTGCTCCACCTCCAGCTCCAGCTCAAGCTCCAACTGTTGCTGCTCCTGCTCCTGCTTATCCAGCGTGTATTGTGTACGCAGACAGGTGTACAGATGCGTGCCACTCAGCAGCATGCCACCGATGAGCGACTCACGCAACCGCAGCGGCAACATCGTGTATGTCATGTAGATGAGCACAATGCAACAGGCGCTGCCATTGAACGATTTGCTGCAAGAGATTTCAGTAGAGGAGTTTTAATTAGGATAAAAGCCAAAGCAAACAACTCTGCTGCCAGTGCCTGGGCAGGGTATTTGTGTGGCTGCGCTAAGACTGCTAACTGCCTAGCTGTTTGCAATATGGCTAAAAGCCGGAATCGCCTGTAGCATGGCCATGGCAATGGTATTAAGACCTTTCCTTCATCAAACTGGCTTTTTAGCTGTTTTTGCCCACAACTGCTCAGCTTTTTCTAGCTTAACCAAATTAAACAGTAGCTAAAATTAGCCAAAAGTTAGAGATCAAAGCAGACAACATTTAACGGGTATTATCAGGCTTTAGCGTGAATTCTAGGAGGTACAATAAATGTCTAGACGTAGAAGACTTTAAAGTATATCATAAAGATTAGGTGAACAGCTAAGACTTCTTAAAATCGGGAACGGACTCATAAGGAATTCGGGAAGTTATTTATAGCATCAATATCATATAGACAGACATCTACTGACGCCTTTAAAATGACTGCGGGATGTTATTGAGCCATCTACTATCAAACCAATCGAGTATAGGAAAGCACTTTTGCTCATGATATGGACTATGGACTATAACTAATCGTGAATCTAATCAATTTTAGCTCCAGTCTACACCTTCAATCTCCAATATTCATCTTCACTATCCAGTTTGCCTAGTCAAAATTTCTAAGCTGACTCAAGTGCTTAACACTCATTAAGTGCTCTTTAAAGTTTAACTAATATATTCTAATTGCTTGTAAAAGTTCCATAACTTGCTCAAATATCTCATAAATATATATCTCATAAATATAGCAACAATCTATCATACACCCACAGCTTTCTCAGGGTATTTTTGTTTCAACTTATTGTTTGCCTAATGTATTTGCTGCCGCTGATGCTGCTGCTGATGTTTGGCTTTGTTCTCATCCAACTTTTGGGTGGAGCTCTGAAACGCAATTAGCGTGTCGCAGCTGATGATGGCCGATGATTAATTCTTGGGCTGGCTGGCAGCAGCTGCGGGCTCAGTCAAGCCTCTCGTTACAAACCTTGGCTGCAGCACATAGCTAACGGCAACTTCAATGGCCAGAAACGTGCCCAATATGACATAGGAGACGAGCACCAGAAATATTTCATTCATCGCCGGCTTTGACAGTATGCAGAGTAGAACTAAATGAAAAGGAAAGCAAGGAAGACACCAAGAAAGTGAGAGAGCAACAATTAATATACAATTGCGAACAATTTGTGGCAAACACTCAAGCGTGAACTCACATGCATAGACGATGCCACAGATTAGCATGACAACGAGAAAAACGAGCACAGACTCATCGATTTGCATGAAAATCGTGTAGAAGACATGCGTGTAATCCAATGAACTCTCCGAATTATCAGTTACACCAAATATTTCAGTTTCTATCGGTTCATGTGTCACCTCCTGCTCCTCCAGCTCCTCCTGCTCCTGCTGCTGCTGCTGTTGCGTGGCATTCGCATTGGAAGCCCCATCAAACGGCGTCAATTTGAGCACTTCAGCACGTGCCTGGCGTCTGCTCAGGGGCAAACGCCGACGGTTGTTATCATTGTTGTCGCGCTGCCCTATAAAGCGTTTAATGCCATCATCATTATTGTCGGCAACATCATCATCATCATCATCATCTTCACCATTAACATTGGCGTCAGCTTCAGCAGTTGCCCCAATCACGTGGTAAATCCGTTTTTGTTGCTCCTGCATGCCACGTTTGTATCTGAATTATAGGCGTGGTGTGGGCGTGGCACAGGTGTATTAGTTGATATGTAAAAGAAAGTAGGGAGCAATAAATGAAGTGCACGACTACGTAATACTCGCTTAAAGTCATTTGAATTTATAAAATATTTACAATTTATGGAGTGAAGTTTGCAGAGGAAGTTCAAGTATTATAATAATAAATATATGTATTTATGTATAGTATATAGAAATCTTAAGCTTGATCTATAGAGCAGGTATTTAGTAAAAAGTCCGATAAACTGTTTGACATTAGCTTTAGAGTAGGAGTATTTAATCGGGTTGCTGGAGTAGGATGGAATAAGGATTATGGTTTATGATAGCTATATATTCATCGGATTGCTGCAATCGAATTTTCCATTCAGTAGGCATCTAGTCTTACATTATGAAAGCTATATCTGTCTATACCTATTGCTCTCTGATTTTAAAGAAGTTCAGTTTCATCTATATATTTACATGTATATTGACAATTTATCTAAAGAGTATTATGACGAACCACAGGTGTGTGTAAAACTAAAGTTACACTCGCCCCGCGCCCCGCCTCAGTCTCTATTATTACAAAATCAGTCGGCCTTATATGAGCAAATTCCAAACAATGCTAAGTTCCTTCAGTAACTTTCACCCAGACAAAAACACAAACAAACAAACTAACCTCACTTTCGCACGCCGAACGGGCATAAAAAACAATTTCTCTACGCATATCAATAAGTCTGGCATTAGCTTAGCCCAACTCAATGCACACACAATACAACACTATCCATCTTGATGGCATGAATAAATATATCTACATACACACATACACACACACATGTATATATACGAACAAATATAAATCGAATAACGAAATCGAAATGGAAATTCCTCAACTCGTGTGTGGTCCAAGTTACGCGTATTTATTTTATTTTATTTGATTTTTTTTTTTTTATGTATTTGTTGACTTTGTTTATTGCTTTACAAATATTTTGCGTGCCTTTTTATTTGTTTGTTTGTCTGTTTGCTGTTTGCTTTATTGTTGGCAATTTCTTGTCTTGGCTGCGATTTGTTATTGAAAATTGGTCCGATTCTAAATTGAACTTCACAGAAAAATCCATTTGCCGCGGCGAAAAGCGTAGCACACTTTTATGGGCGCAGATTGAATTTGCCGGCCTGTCAGGCCAAAGCGGCATATGCGTAACGCGTGTCTGGACAGGTAACCAGCAGCTGGCTGGCTGGCTGGCTGGCTGTCTACCCTAGAGTAGCTGCTGCTCGCAATTGGCAGCTGGCAGTTGTTTGCATAACGCGCCTGTCAAAGTGCCAGAGCCAACCGCTAACGGATCAAAGCGCCCAGGCACTTCCTGTTGCCACTTGCCAGTTAGCCAGCTGTGAGGCCTGCAATTGATGGCAGCCAGTGCTGCCAAACGTTCGACACGCTTTTAACGAGGCCTAAACATTGATGGGAAATATCAAAATTGATGTAAGCTGTGCATATCTCTTTTAGCAAAATCATATTTGAAGTCTACGCTTTAATATTCCAATTTATCGATGTAGATATCGATAAGAATTGTGGTAAACTCTATGATGCAGTGATATGGTTAAGGCACAACCACTTTGAAATGTACTAATATTCTATAATAAATAAATTTGAACTCTTTCATTAAGTCCACCTACTTTAACCCATTCATTTTACAGTTAATTAAAATTCATAGTACACATAATGTTAACGTTTAATTTGTGTTTATCACAGAGTTTTAATTCAATTAGTGATAAAGTCGAAGGCCCCAGTTAAGGAAAAATAATAATACAAATCAGTAATACTTCATATTATTTTATTTTTAAGCAAAGGTGGCAACTCTGCTAATTACTTACTCTTAAGTGGGTAACTATTCACTAGGATTATTATCCAAGTCGAAATATCTGATAATTAGCACTTTAACAAATAGGTAGCACATCAAAAACTTGCTTAGTATGTACTAAATATCTAAATATTCCCTACGTATATTAGTTAAGTTCATTAAAGTAGACTCTAGATCACAATCATAGATAATATTTCACTGTCCTAGTGCCATATTAGATGCCTAAAAGCACCACTCCTAGTACTACCTATCCATTGAAAAGTAAACTTCGTGAGACTGTTGATCAGAATCATAGATAATATTTGAGTAACCCAATACCATACTAGACACCTAGCCGCCCTACTCCTAGTACTACCTATCCATTGACAAATAAACTTGATAAGTCTGCAAGTTGTTGCAGCGTAATACCTTTGGCACTAACAAATAAATTTGTCAAGTGCTCATTAATGAGATGGCTGCCCACTCACCTGGCGCGATGCTGATGCTGCTTGTAGCGATGCTTGTGTAGGCGACGGTAATGCTTGCGCTTCTGCCGAGGCTCGAGCCACTGCGGGCTCCGCTCGTCGGCAACGGCGGTCCGCTGTGACGCATTAGTGTTGCGGCGAATGCCAGTTGGAGTTTGCACGGCGCTGAGCGTTGCCAGACTGCCAATAGAAACCAAATGCTGATGGTGGCTCATTTGTTTTGCACGTTGCGGCGATGGTGGTGCTGGTGGTGGTGTTGGCTGTGCTAGTGGTGCAGCTGCTGCTGCTGCTGTGGCCGTCATCAGGTGCGTAACATTTTCGCTGGCCGTGGCATTCGCGTCGAGCGACTGAGCCGCCAATCGAATCGTTGCGGATGTCAGCCCAGTGGCCGGGTGGTTGGGGGTGGCGAGGCTGCGGCGCAGCTGCATGGTGGTGTAGACCAGCTGGGTGCAGGATAATGCCAAAATCAACGTTAGCAACAGGCCCAAAATGTGCGTCGTATTACTCTGATTCATTCGCAGAAAATAACGCTGATAAAGCATTTCCACCTGGCGAGCACAGACGAACGAGCGAACAAATTGAAATTGTGAGGACTTTAAGCTCATTCCAGCGAATATGTAAATTGAGCTACCCAATTGAGTTGCCAATTTCCATTTGATAGCCTGGTCAAATATATATTTGGTGCGTAAGCTGCTTACCTGCAGATTCTTGAACTGATGCGTCGAGCAGAGACGCAGAATGATGCGATTCAAACGGTACCAGAACGATATGCTTGGACTGCCTGCCTGAATGCCCGTGGTGCTTGGATTGTTCGCTTCCACATTGCTGCGACCGTCAGCTGCATCGGCTAAGGGAAAGCACACAAGGAGAGAGGGAAGGAGGATGAGAGAGGAGGAATTAATAAGAGTCTGTGGTGTGACAGAGTTGTGAATTCCAATTAAATTTTGTGGAGGCTCTCACAAGTGGCTCAAATGAGCCAAAGCATTGGTTTGCTAAGTCTGAAATTCTAGTTTTACTTCATAGCGATTGTCGCTTGTGGTTCATGTGAGCTAGACTTGGGAGTATTGGATTCACTTTATAGATATAAAAGAGATTTTCAATGTGGCATAAAATTTATAGCAAGTTCTAATGATCTAAAGCTGTAAATATTAGTTCAATTGCAAAGTTTTAGCCAATCTCAACACTTCTTGAGTTAGTTCCTTCAATAAATATGGGCCAATTGGGACTGGGAGAAATCTTCACTCTATGAATTAGTTAAATCGTTAATGAGGGATATTTAGCTCTTTAGCACAAGACTAATTAATTTCCTACGATTCCTATCTCTTTTATTTTCCTTCTTTCTTTCAATATTGCTTAACATTCATGAACAATTTATTATACATATATTTTACATATATTATGTATAAATTTTAATGACTTTAAGCCGTTGCACAGCAGGCTTAAAGTAGCTCTGCATATTTCTATTTTAATTTCATTGATTTTCCAGCCAATTGCTGGTCAAAGTCAAAGTCGAATTTATGTTGCTATTTTTAGCCAAGTTTACATTCCAACTTCATTCATTCCTGCCTTGTTGCTAATTACGTTATTTTGTGAGAATAATTAGCAGTTTGGGCTCACTCATGTGTTAAATATTCATTAAATGAAAATTGAAATGGAATATTTGCAATTTCTGTTTTGGTTTTATGGATTAGCAAACAATCGGATAACGAGCTAACCTGACAGAAAGACAGCAATACATTTAAATATATAGACTCATATATACATACATACATATTTGTTATTTGCTTTCGCAAAAGGTTTTACTGCTTGTCTTGCGACCGCCTGCAATTCGGACTACAAATTGAAAATATCCGTATTGCATTCTGATGAGATTTTCGATTGCCGCATTCACAGCTAATAATGTTTCACAGCTGAGCGAGAGCTGCATGTGGCATTGTTAAATTTATATAAACATTGCAATGTGTACATGCATCGGTTTTGGTTTTTGGATATTATAACTGCAACTGGCAAGGGGCAACCTATAGCTTGTGGCTGCAACACAATACTTTGATCCTGATATGCATTGGCAAAATGGATTCGCTTATCGTCCTGTTGCCTTTGCACATTGTTGTTACTCGTTCTGAATGCATTGCACAATGCCATAAAATGTAAAATCGTTTCGACTGACCCCCATAAAGTTGAACACACACACACTCCCACATAAACACTCACACGCACACGCACAACAATGCGTATACTTTCTTATATATTGTTTCCTATTTTTTTTTTTTTTTTACGTACGTTCTCATGCATCAATAAATAAATGCCAAACGTGATTATGTAAATTTCTATAGAAATCTCTATGTATATACAAATATATACACGAGTTTACCATATCAAAAACATGAGCCACGTCCTTTGCCAGTCTTTCGCCCTATTCAATATGCCACTGTGGCCGCTTCATAGAAAATAAATGAGAATCGGACTGCGAACGGGTGTTGACGGCCGTAGAATACAGCCTACATTGAAGAAAAAGAGTAAGTTAGGTGACATTTGTTATATTGGTGGTATAAAACAAATCTCTTAGGGCAAAAAACTGCAAAACTTACATAATATATAATATATGAAATTATGGTCTCCCTAAAATAGATTAACTATGCTGAAAATATGCTGGATAACAAATTGTGTTTCATATTCAAAAGTAAGTTCAATCAATGCTGTCCATTTCCCGCTAAGATTGATTTCAAATCATTCACGTTGTAAATGAATTTTCAAATATTCAAAAAATATGGTCACCCCATCTCTAAAACTATGAGCTCCATGTAATTCGTAAGTTCGTATGGATTCAGTCCTAGCAAAGCTCGTAAGTTCAAATATGGTCACCCTAAAGTTATCTGAGTTAAGCTGAGAGCTGATCTAAGCTAGATATAGAGCTGATCTAAGCTAGGCGAATATTTCTATAACTATTTACAAAGAAAAACTATAGTCACAAAACCAATACACCCGTCTCGCATAGTGCGCTAATATAACAGAGTAAACGAGAAAGAAAGTAAGACATATAAATCTGACTGACAAGGCCACCTATCAAGCAGGCAGTCAGCCCGCAGCCTGCAGCACGCATCACACTGGGCAGGAGGGGGGGCTGTCTAAATATTGGATAAGTGAAGCCGAGAAGCTGTCTCGTCAAATTCAATGGGACGACAATGACAATCAAGTTGTGAGATTCGAGTCAGCTATTCGATCAGGCCAGTGCGAGCATATGTGTTGGCATTTTGATTAGCCATGTCCAGGGTATCCCATTACATGCTTAGCGTGAACGAGGCGAGGTTCTGTTACTCGAGTGCTACTCACATTGTTGCTGCAGCAGCTGGGCCTCGTCCCTCTGATAGATCATCGGACTGTGGCAGGTGGAGCTCGAATTGGTTGAGTCAATCGACTCGTCAATGTTGCAGCGCGTGATGCCAGCCTGAAAAGAATATTAAGGATAGCTGTGATAATAAAAGGGATATTCATTTATGTTATATATACATATATATATATGCTATTATGAAGCTAACTGCTTGCATAATAAATATTAAGTATACGCCCCATGCATTCCATTTAAACTTCAGTTGCCGCCAAGCTGTTTCGTTGCTGTTGCTTAACGTTTATTCCACGCGGCATCTTTAAACATATTGCCGCCCATTTGGCATGCCACGCCCACAGTCTCACACAGACACACCATCTCTCAATTGCTGTCGCTTTACGCTGCTTTGCGCCATAAATATTTTCAATTGACTCTCGAGAGCTCGGGCGAACAGTGCACGCATTCTCAAGTACAGTGAACACTCAAAGCACGAGCAGCTGCTGGCTAATTTGGTAAACATATTTGGATGCTAGAAATTCAAGACTATCTATTTACTATATTTAATCTATCTATCTATCTATCTATCTATCTATCTATCTATCTATCTATCTATCATTCTGTTTATCTGTCTATATGTCCATCTATAATCTATCTATCTACCTATCTCTGCATCCATCTATCTATCTATCTGTCTATCTATATATCTATCTATCATCTATCTATCTATACATCTCTCCATCTATATATACATATATGTATATCTATCTATCATCTATCTCTCCAACTTTCTATCGACACTCAACATATTTATACACTTTTATTTCAGATGAATATTTTATATAAAATAATAATTAATAGAATATTTTCAACAAGTAAGCTTGATTTCTTCGTTCATCTTTAGCTAGTTGCCACTGTAGTCGCCGACACACATGCTCAATATTGTAAAGTGGGCCCTTGTGCATGCAGACAATATTCCACATTCTATGTGAGTTTTGATGTGTGCGAGTTTTGACTGTATATATACATACATATGTTCGGGCGTGTATGTGTGTGCATCCTTGTTAGCCTCTGCCGAAGGTGTTAACTTTTCCTCAAGTGTTGTTCGGAAAGACGGCAACAAAAGCAGCGTCAAAGCTACATCTAACAATGCATAAACTTTTAGCATAAATGTTGCGACTCAATACGAATTCCCTAGCCTACATTTACAGACCTGCTCCCCCTCGACCTAGCCCCTGAACTTCTCAACTAAATAGCTCGCAGCCTCATTTGTAGCTCTGCCCGCATCACTTAGCTTTCCCTTTTTGCCAATGAAATTGTATTTTAATTTGTCTTATGACCAAATCGAATTAAATATTTAAATCGTACAGTCAGTTGGGTCCTGCCTGTCCATTAGGAGGGTAAATTAATTGATGCCACAGCCAGTAAGAAACAAGACCCACTCTTTCTTCCACTCCCACTTCCACTCGTCTACTCCTTGCTTCCATTCTCAATCCAATCTGCTTACCGCAATCAGGCTGCTGCTAACCATTGCTTTGCCTCCCTTGGCGCTGGTATTGAAATGTTCGATCACCTCCCAATTGGATTTCTTTGGCGTCGATGGCTGTGTCAGCGGATGCGCCAGTCCAGATGGGGAGCCAGCTGCGGATGAGTGCCCAGGTACATGCAATTCCATCGAGGCTTGCGTGCTGCCGCCGCCGCTGCCCGCCTGCTTCAGCGATGCGGAGCGACTAAAGAACTTGCGATGCTTGCCCGGACCGCCGACTGCTCCGCCCACTCCGGCCGTCTCCTGCAATTGGAATAGCTTGCGGCATTGGCATTGGATTGTGGTTTTAGTGGTTGTCCACTTGCTTACCTCCTTGCTGGCAGCCAGACTGGCAGCTCCAGCTCCAGCGCCATGCCGCATGCCACGCAATGACAGACGCTTCGACCATTCCCGCTTCTGGCTCTCCGATGACAGCGAACGAAAAATGTGCGTGGATGCTGGATTGGTGACGGTGCCGGTCCCGGTGGCGGTGCCAGTTGTGGCGGTGCTGGTGCTGGTGGCGTTGGTATTGATGGCGCTGCTGGTGCTGTTACCGTTGCCACTGGCGCTCATGCTGCAAGGGAATATAGAGAAAATTATTATATGTATAGATACACTTATACATATTTGGAGATGAATTTCACTTGTTTATTTAAGATAAATTCAACATACAACATAAAATTTACCATATTTTATAGAGAGATTGTTTTATTTTGGAAATTAAGGAATTTATTATTCAATATAGGATATGCTTAAGCTGATTCTTTCTTTCGCTTTAAGGCAGATGTTTGTGCTATAAGTAGATTATTCCCTAATTTACTTGTAAAAAGCTTAAGAGCAGCCAAATTTTTAAATTTAAGAAAGCTTGTGTCTCCTATTTAAAGCTTTATTTACTCATGAGAACTTAATGTGCTTGAGTTGGGTATCATTCAGATTATTTGTATATTCGATGCCTTTCTCGAGAGAGTTGCAGACTGAACTGGAGATTGAGACATGGAAGATGGAGAAGGAAAATGGGAAATCTAGAGACAAATGTGAGAGAGATAGAGAGAAAGAGAGAGAGAGACAGAGAGAGAGAGACAGAGAGAGAGAGACAGAGACAGAGAGAGAGAGACACAGACAGATAAAGACTACGATAGAGAGAGGGAGAGAGAGAGATAAAGACTACGAAAGAGGGAGAGAGAGGGAGACAGAAACAGATGTAGACAGACTTAGAGAATAATTACATGAGGCTGAAAAAAAAAATAACAAGAATAGAAGAAGAGATAACAATAATCAGGTAGAGTGACTGAGAGAAAGTAAAAAAAAACTGAGAGAGAATGCGTGAACCAATGATGAAATGAGCAAGTGAGAGGAAAGCAATGAAAAGGAGAAGAGAAAGAAACACAGCATTTTTAACTCGACAGAGCACATGATATAGCGTTTATCTATCACCTTTTTTTTAACTTTATAGCTTTGTTTATCAACAGCAAAACTAATAAATTTCCCATATTATAGCTTCATACTTCAGCACTTTATAAAGTGTCTGGCAAGTGTATATAGATTTTCGTTTTTGGTGGGAAATTGATTTTTATTTTACATGCTAAAGAAGCGCGCTAATTTCCAAACAAATTGCCAATTTTTTCTTTTGGGTTTCGCTGTCCTCAGAGGAAGCGACTGAAATGGCATTAAAACAATAAATTCGATTTTGGCCCAAAAGTGACAAGAAGGAAAGGAGACAACAACAACAACAACAATGACAACAACACCAACAACAACGACAACAAGTAAGTAAACAAAAACAAACAAGAGCAAATACGCCTACGCCAACAAATATATCGCAACGCACTCTAACGTCACGTAACGTCAAATAACGTAGCGTAACGTAACGTATCTACATTTGAGGCCGGCCCACTTAAGACTTCACGAAATGCGCGCCAAGCACGCGACGGCACAAGATATTGAGCAGGAGCGGGCAGATCGGAGGGAGGCGGAGCTGTTTGATTGGGTTTTCACTGAAAATGAAAAGAGGAGAGAGGGGCCGGGGCGGGCGGGCTGCCTGACAGGGGCAGCTCAGCTCAATGGAAAAACTCGACAGGTTAGGGCGCTCAGTTTTCAGTTTTCAGTTTACAGTTTTTAGCTAGGGCTTTAAGGGCAGCAACAAAAGCAGACAAAGTGAAATTTTGTATAACCTATAAAAAGAAAAGCTGAGGCAGCTATAAAAATAAATATGAAAATTAAGCATCCACTTTTATATGTAAATTAAGTGAAATGAGTTAATAATTGCAATGCATATATGGCTATAGTTCACGTTAAGAAAGCTGAAAAAAAGTTAAGGAAACCTTAAGAACGATGGAAAAGTGGAGATATCATGCACAATTTCTAGAGCTATATCAGATATTCTCCTTATATTTTTCCACAAATGTATATAAAGAAAACAACAAAACTCTAGATAATTCTAGTTCAACTTGATTAATAAATTTTTTTAATAAATTTATTTGTTCAATTTTGATGGAAATATCCCAAATTTGTTAATAAATAGTTAATTTATTACTTTAAAAATATTCGAATACATTTTAGTCTGTTGTAAATTTTCGATTATGATATATGAAGGTAAATTATTTTGAAAATGAAGAGCTAAAGATAGTCTTCGTTTAGTTAACTGGCTTCAGGTATAGTAAGAGTCTATCAAAAATTAAATTTATTGCTAATGAAGGTCTAGACACTGCTGTCATTGACCGTAATCTGAGCCCGAACTCTAATTACTTAGCTACCCAATTAAGTTTCCTAATTTGAAACTATTTGAATGCTGAATATTATCCAACAAAATGAAGTGAAATTTACCTTAAACCTCAATGAACTAAAGCTTCAGCTTCATTTCGTCTCATTTTAGTTAATTTACTTCACCTAGACGCTATAGACAGCAATTAAAGTAGCTAAATTAAGATTTGTTGCCGCGCTCAATATATGCCCATGCACATTTATAAGTCTTAAGCCGCGACTCTTCGAGTTTTATGGACGCCTAAGTCTGAGCACTTTTCCATAACGGCTTTCTTGAAGCGCATAACAGTAAACTGTGCCACAGACAACAACTACAACAACAGCAACRTACAACAAACAAACAATGCGAAGGCACATGAGCAGAAGTTTTGCTCCTTTTCCTACCATTTTCTTTTTGTTTTTGGCCGCATTATTGGGGGCAGAGTTTGAAGTCTCAAAACAGTTCGCTTACCTTTTGTTTTTAGCTACTCTACACACACATAAAAACATATATATCTACATACATATATAGGGCGTGAGTGGAGAGGAGGCTTCGTGTATGCTCAAGTGCCGGCCGCCGGCATAAATATGTCAAAAGCAACGCGCTATAAACAAATTGTTTTGTTGCCAAAAAGCGAGAAAAACAAGTGAAAATTGAATGAGAAAATCGAAAAAAACGAGCAAGAAAAAAAAACTTGAAAAAGAAAAAATGGAAAGTACATTGGGATGTGCTCGACTGCGTAATACTCATTCAAGGGCGAAAACTAGATAGGTTGAACGATGAATCAACAAAATTTTAAAGAGGCTAACAGTGCAGTAGGTCTAGATTTTAGGAAAATTAGTGTAGGTCTGGATTGGATATAGAACTTTAATGCATTTTAAGTAGTTATTAAACTGTAAAAAATACGCTTAAATGTCATTCCTTTAATGAGAATACATAAATGTTGATATATATACTAAAAATATATTATATATCCAAAGGAACATCTTATTCAAATTACAAGTCTTTACTTTCTAAACAGCCAAGATTTAGTCCATGTGAATGTGACGCATTCTTCATAAAATCTTGACAGTCTAATAGCTGTAGGTACTCATATATATATATGTATAGGAATATCAATATACCTGGCAAGACCTACATTCCCACAATACATAATGGACGAGTATTATGGAACGAAAATAGGCAGCCAAGTAGCTATTATATTACGGTCTCCGTCCACAATTTTCCTCATTTTTCGTCGACATTTCGTGGAAACTCAAGATTAGTCACTGAACGAAACGCTTTGCAACACTTTCGCTGCTCGACCAATTGGAATGCTATTCAAAGTATTTTCTCATTGGACAAAACCCCAATCCACTCACTGCGCCCACCTCAAACACCGGCAAGAAATATATATTTATGTAATTAAAATTGAAAGTGCCCCAAAAATGCGCCCAATATGAATAGACTACTTGGGCTCAATGGAATTCTACTCGGCCAAAAGAGTATTCATATTCCAAGGTCAAAGTTCATAGATACGCAATTGAATTTAATTTAACAACAGCGTATATATATGTATATATACATTTCACGAAACAATTTAACAAATACAAAAGAAAACTTTCAATTAAAATATGGCAAGAGCTGAGCAAAAGCCAGCAAAAGTATTATGAATGGGTTGAGGTGACTAAGGAATGCTCTGTTTATTGCTTTAGTCTGTGGAAAATTGTATTTATTTTTATTGAATTGTTGATTAAACAACTTTGTGGGGGGTTCTACGAATTTATTGAAAATTTCAATTGGATTAACATTTAAAGAATCTACATGGCATCTGGATCTGGATGTGAATCTGACAGAACTTTGATATGATATAAAGTGAATGTTCCTAATCAAATTTCTCGACAGATTAAGATTTGAGACTTTGATRYCTTGAGTATTTCTCATTTCAYTCCGAAAAGTTGAWAATTTTACTGATTTTAAAGTACATCTATTTATAAAAAATATAAGCGTATGCTTAAACAAACTTTAAGTCTGCCCTTTAATAAACCCCTTCAAACTGTCGACAAGCAACATGAATATGAATATGAAAAAAAGGGAAAAAACGAGCTAACATTTCATATAAATATTTAATTTTGTCATGTGAAATATGCAAAAGTTGAAGCTTGAATGCTCGACTTTTCAGCAGCACCTTTTGAGCCAAGTTATTTTTACGAGCTAGTTTGGCAACAGAAGAGAGAATGAGTGAGAGAGGGGGGAGGGGGAGAAGTTTTGAAGTGTGCAAGTCGTTCAGTCAAATATTTTCAGTTCTTTAGCATATGCTAAATTGGCAGCAACCGCCTTACAGCAGCTAAGAGCGTATCTTTTATGGCTTGTTGTAGTTGGCAGTTGTCATTTGCCTGCTGCCTGTTGCCTGTTGCCAGTTACCAGTTGCTAGGCATCTTTAGCATTGAGCTCTGAAGTTTGCGAAAGAAAACTCTGTGAGCTTTTTAGCATAATCGCAGCATAAGCCTACAAGACGCGGCAACAATCACGAAATCAGGCAACTGATTTAATTAGCCGTCAAGCAATGGCCTGAATTAACATGCTACTGAGTTGCTTAAAGTGTTAGACTGGCAGATATCCTATATTGCATAGTGAGCTCAAGCACGTGCAGTACAGGCTTAAGTTGACTCAAGTCCTTAATCTATGCAAGATCCTGGCTCTGTGCGTTGTCTCCCATAAGCCACGCTCTCAGCTCTTGCTGCTTTAATTATTATTACTATTATTATTGTTATAATGCGACTAGTTGTTGCTTGTGCAACCCGACTCTCATATAAAATGTAATCAGTGCCATTTCAATGCCATCAGTTCATTCT